AGGCTGAAGTTCATTTGTCATCAGGGCCAACTCCTTGGCGTCCGCGTGTCTCATTAAATACCGAAGTCGAGAAAACCAGAAATCACAGAATTCAAGCAGAAAGAAGAGGCGATCACAGCAATTCTTCTTTCATCAGTTGCCTGTAGGTTTCCAATAAAATGGACACTATGATAAGAGTCAGGCCTGGTTTCTCTAAACCGGGCATTAAGTAGCAAACTGTTATTCCCACCACTCCTGGGACAGCGCCAATGAATGAGGCGGCAGAGGACTGGAAATGTCCTCACAGGGGGCCCAGGACAGTGGCCCAGCCAGTCACGGCTCCTGGTGCCACACACATGGGTCCATCAGGGCTAGGATGCTCCCTGCGGCTTCAGAGCAACCCAAACGCCTGCTGGAACGAATCCAAAGCTATGGGAGCCCCTTTGTTGAGAAAAGAAAATAGGGAGAAAAAATCTTCCTCTATTTGGCTGCTTCCATCAAACAAGAAAACCATGAAATAGTGAACTGGACGTTTTATTGAGCGGGATGCTATGCTGTAGTCAGTTAGTCTGAGCTGCCAAGGAAGCCACATTTCTGCCTCAGAAAACTAAACAAGAGGGTTTTTTCCTAGTAAATGTAAAGCTCTTCAGTAAGGCAGAGTGATTAAGGGAGGAGCCCACGGGGCCGATCAGAAGGTCAGTCTCTCTCTTAAGGCCTTCAACTGATTGGACGAGGCCCACCCACAGTATGGAGGGCAATCTGCTTTAATGTTAGCAGATTTACTGATTTAATGTTAATCTCATCTAAAACATACCTTCTCTTCAACATCTAAGCTAGTGTTAGGATGAACATCTGGGCACTGTGGCCTAGCCATGCTGACACATAAAAAAGTAACCAGCACAACAGACTGCTATAAATATGACCAAACCAAGTTCTATCTGAAATAATGCCAGCACCCTCTTGGTCATATTTTTCTGGAGAGCCCTAATACATCTTTATATTGTGGATTTCCCTCCCATCAATATTTTACTCCCCTTAGAATAAAACTAAATCCACAGCAATAGTCATGGTTCAGAGACTGACCTTTCCTAAATGAATCAAAAGACTGCACTGTCGTGGTCAACACACACAGAAGAATGTTCTTTCGGCGAAGACAACTGCCCTCCTCTGCAGTGTGGAGCTGCCTCTGGGAAATGCCTGTTTAGAGACGGATCACCTTTCCCAGCTTCCTTCCCAACTAGGCGGGGCCCTGGGACTAGCTCTCCCCAATGGTGACCTGCCTGCAAGCACTGAGTGTCACTTTCAGGAGGAAACTAAGAAGCTGGTGCTCCTTCTCCCTTCTCTTTCCCCTTTCACTGAAATGCAGAGGACTCCACAGGCNGTGCCTACAAGCAATGAGTGTCACTTTCAGGAGGAAACTAAGAAGCTGGTGCTCCTTCTCCCTTCTCTTTCCCCTTTCACTGAAATGCAGAGGACTCCACAGGCCCAGGGAACTGCGGGGCCCCAGCTGGAAGCCACCGGGGCCTCTGATCACCAGTGGAGCGGAGGAGGCCGCTGCCTGGAACCCCCACCCTGGACAGGGCAAGAAGCAAACTTGCGTCGTGTTAGCCACTGGAAGCCTGGGGTTTGTTCGGCAGCCTGTCTTACCCTAACTAATGCCCTGCCTCCCTAAGTAAGGGAGTGTCGGTCAAGCTAGAGGAACNCCAGCCAGGCCACGCCTTGTTTTGTGGTCCGAGGGCTTCATCTGCACCTTGGGGCAGGGGAAGAGCAATGGAGCTGACTGTCCCTGATGTCCCTGAGGGAACCCAAAAGCCATTCCACAGCCAAAGGACCTCAGGCCCCAGCCAGCACGCCCACCACCACTTCCCACTGCACGAGCAAACCAGCTTCTGATACCCTCACTGGGCTTTGCTTTAAATAACCCAGCAGGGAGTTTCCACCACGCAACACGCCAATGTTATCATTTGTTGAGGACAAGTGGGGGGTCCACGCAGGTTCATTATACTAGTCTCTCTACTTCTGTGCATGTTTGCAAGTTTCTATTTAAAAACATTTCTGAGGCCGGCTGGTGTGGCTCAGAGGTTGAGCATCAGCCCAGGATCCAGGAGGTCGCGGTTCGATTCCCGGTCAGGGC